TCTGCAGAAAGGCCCAGACTATGCTCTGGGCATGGTCTTAGATATTACCACAGCTGGCCAGGGGCTGAGATGGGGAAGGCCACCAAGTAGTTAGTGATCCACATGCACAGCTGTCTAGCTCAGAGCCCAGCTGTGAGGTGTCACCCTTAGAGCAGAGGGAGAAGCCAGGGGCAAGGGTGAGTACTTGTGCCTGCAACCCTGTGCTGGGTGTCCACCTAAGAGCAGAGGCTAGCCCCTACCAGCAAGCATGTCCCGGTGTGTAAGCTGCACATCCTAATGGCTGACTGCATCAACCCCACTGACCACCAGCAGTCTAATGGCTGTATAGGTTGTAATGTGTTTAATGGTGGTATATTTCAAAGCGATGGAAAAGAGTGAGCCTGGGACTTCTGCTGTCAAATAGTGTCCACTAGACATGACAAGGGAGAGGGATTTGTGAACTCTCAACAATGTGGTTGCCTCAACAAGACCAGCATAATGACAATACCGGTTGACATGCCGGCTTGATCAGGAGCAAGTCCACAAGGTCCTACCCCTAAATAAAGAACTACAGGTGGCCAGTGGTTGCTGGGAGAAGGAGAATCTGTTTCCACCAGGGATGAGCTCCTACATAGGCTGTCCAATCTCGAGTGGTCAGCCCTGGACACATGTACATACCAGCCAAGCTAAACAGACTCAGTAGGGGCTGGAGAGATGGCTCAGCAGCTAAGAACACTGGGTGCTGTTCCAGTGGACCCTGGTTCAGTTCTCAGCCCCCACGTGGCTGTTCACAACCATCTGTAACTCTTTCAGGTGACCTCTTCTGGCCTCTGCAAGCACTTCAGTCACATGGTGCAGACATACGGGGCAGGCAAAAATGTCCATACATGGAAGCCAAATAAAATAAACATATTTTAAATGGACTCGGTAGGTTATATAACACATGTGAATATACATAATAACTAAAAAGAGATCGTGAATTTGGGGGGAACACAAGGGGAGTTGGTGGGTGGGGAGGGAGGAGTGGGAATGATATAAATGCAGTGTTCATGTGTAAAGTTCTTATAAAATATATATATATAGAGAGAGAGAGAGGAAGAGGAGGTGGAGGAGGAGGGGGAGGAGGAGGAGGAGGAGGAGGAGGAGGAGGAGGAGGAGAAGAAGAAGAAGAAGAAGAAGAAGAAGAAGAAGAAGAAGAAGAAGAAATGAGTTAGAAATACAGGAAAGCACACAATGAGCCACAGGTTTCTGTAGAAAGAAGCAATTAAATACAAGAGTGGACTTGCTATACAATTCCAGCCCTTCCCCCCTCAAAAAAAAATCTGAAAATGAAGAGGCAAGAGAAATGACCTCATCTCTGGAGGTACAAATTTAGGGGGCAGAGGATACAGTGAAACTTCCAGAGGTCTAGAATGTTTCATGGCTGGTAGCTCCATGGGTACATAAGAATGAAAACTCACCGTGCTATAAACAAATATTTGATTACACCTCGGCTAAATGCATACATTGTTTTATCATTCGTTATGTCCCATAAAGCTGCCGACATAATAAAGACTGACGTGTCTCAGCTATGGGCCATCAGCCAGGTGTGGTTAACAAAGACTGAGCCATGCTTCTGAGAAAACACAAGTGTAGGTGTCTGTGAGCCGCTGGGTCACATGTTCCGGACTCCCTGTTCAATATGCTGTTGCTCAACACTGACTCAGGACTGCAGCACTCGAACTCATACATGGGCCGCCTGTGCTTTCTGCCTAAGACACAGTATGGCCTTTTTGAGCTCATCCCGGGGCCTCTTTAACGGTAAGATCACCAATAAGAAGCGCAAAAATGCAAGATCATGCCCTAAATAGAGAGAGAAAAATGTCCACCTGTCCATTAGTGACCCTGACTTTCTCAAGGTGTACATGTCTGTGAAGGACTGAAAATGTACTTCCAGTATTGATCTTAGGGCTGTAGATAAATTTCACTGAGTAGGCATATCCACAAACACGAATTCTGCAGTTCTGAAATGCTCTGATGTGTTGTGCAATATCCAAACATGGAGGATAGAGGCCTCACCTGAGCCAAGCCTCTGGCTAACCAACCTGCACAGGGCCCCTTTTCAAAGCAGATGCTTAGTGCTTGCTCCAACCTTCCCCTCCCTGGGTCAGGGGTGAGTCCTCTCCAGTGTCTACCTTCTGCAGACAAGCACTTAGGGGCTTTCAGAGCATTCATGCAGACACACAGGAGAAAAGGTGGAATGCAAAGGTCTGCTGTGGGGGGGTGTGGAGGCCTTTGCAAGCTGTACAGCAGAGCTCACACCGAGGGTATGGGCCTGGGATCAGAACCAACGATGGCCTTCTCACTAAGGCCAAGGTAGCTGGACTGGTCTTGTCTCTGTCAGAACACCTGATCAAGGTAGGTGGGTGGGTAGATGAGTGAGCAGGTGGGTAAATGAGTGGGCAGGTGGGTAGATGAGTGGGTGTGTGGGCATGCTTTCACTTACTTCATTCTATAACAGCATCAGAAGGCATCTCAGGGCACCCAAGAGGAAGAAAAAAGAAACGCTTTCAAAGGCAAAAGATAAAAAGCATTCCAGGAACAGAGATGACAGAGGAAATGAAACCCAAACCTAGCTGCTGCTTGGGGTCCCAGGGTCAAGTATCCCCTCTGGGCCTTCAAGAGGTCACCTGCTGTACCTGCTCTTTGTCTGGGCCTTGTACACCACGCCAACCATCCCACCCGGCTGGAAGACGTCTCTTTTGGAAACACCCACGCCTGCTTGCTTTGTTCCCAGCTCAAGCTGGCAGTGCTGAGGTCTGCTCCTCCCTCGTTCCCATCACAGCTGATCTCTGGTTCCTGATGAGGCAGTAGTGAGCTCTCCTCAGGCGGTGACCCTGACATGTCAGCATGGGGCACATCTCAGTGTGGGCAGGTGTGTGGGCGGGCCTCTGCCTGGCTATACTGTTGCCACAGGGCGGGGATGGCTAGTGCATACGCACATGTCTATAGGCATCTAGTGTTGAGATATGAGGACGCACGTGTACTCTTCCAGCTGCAAGGACAGATCCACACCCCAGGATGTGTGCTGTCCACAGCGATGACTTCTAGAAAGAAATTCCTAAAGTCATATAGGGCCCTGTGTGCTGAGCATGGCCACAGAAGCAAATTTCTGAGGCTACTTTGTCTTCCTCCTAACCCTTGGGTGCAGAAAGAAAGCTCAGGATGGGGTTGAGGTGCCTGGTGATGCAGAGGGTGACTGTGGGAGAGAGAGAGAGAGAGAGAGAGAGAGAGAGAGAGAGAGAGAGAGAGAGAGAGAGAGAGAGAGAGATCAAGTATTGTGGCATAAGCCTGTAATCCTATTACTTCCCAAGAGCTGAGACAGGAAATCAAGATTTCTAGGCTACATGGTACAGCTCAAAAAAATAAAGAAAAGAGAAAATGGGAAGGGGCTGAGAATATCAGTCATCAATGCAGGTGGTGTTCCTGAAGCTGAGATTTCTTCTCTGCTCTGGCCAGAGAGCCCAAGCTAAGGTCCAAAGGAAAGCCCCAATCCTCCAGCATCCAGAGCTACAAAATATCAGCTCTCCGACCCCTCACCCCAGCTACCCACTATCTACTTTGCCCTCTTCATCCTGCTCTGGCCTCATGTGGCCTGGCCTGACCTTGAGGTACAGCTCCAATGGGCTCCCAGCAGTGCCCATGGTGCCTAGAACGTAACCTGGTCCTTGGGTCCAGCCAACCCCACTCAGGGAAGAAAGCCTCGAGCAGAGGCCAACGAGGAGGAGTAGGGGTGGGATGGCTCTCCACCTCTGTCGGGGCTACTGCAGAAGATCCTGGAAAGACGGCATAGCCCCCTCACACGGCCTCGCAGCGTGGCTCAGGTAGATGAGGGATGGTGCTCAGGCTGAAGCCAGGAGTCCTCCAGGCGGGGGCTGAAGTCACATTCCTCCTTCCAGATAAATAAACACACCCACTGACCAAAGGCAGCCCAGGACAGAGGCAAGTTAACCTTGATGACCCCTATCCCAAAGGTGCCAGACCTAGGTGATACTGGGTAACCAGAATTGCAGTTCGGACCAGGCAGGAAGTTCTCTGTGCTGAGGGTTAGTGGGGCTGACTGGCTTCTTAGGTAGAAGCTACAAGGACTGTGCTTCTAAGAACAGCTGAGTCCCAGGACAGGAATGGCCACAACTTACATCCCAGGCTGGACAGTGTCCAACAGCCAGTCAGCGCCTGCCTTGGCGGGCTCTCCAGTGCACACCCTGCACTCAGAGGCCATCCCAGTACTGGCTGGCTATCAAAGGCTACTCCTGCCCTGGGGCCCAGCCAGCGTTTCCAGGGATTGAGATGATGGGGCCAGTCAAAAGACATTTACAGGCAACCAAGGGTGGGCTTAATCCCAGGTGGCTGGGGAGCACACTGAGCACCCCAAACATGAGATTACGTCCAGGATAGAAGTGGCTACAAGGCTAAAGAGAGACCCAAAGCGTTTCATTCTGCCCGTCGGCCACATGCCCTCCACCCAGCTTGGGGGATTCAAGACACAAGTGAGTGGAGAACCTTTATTCATGTTCATAAACCTCTTAGAGGTACTATTTCAAACTGGAGAAATTGAAGCTCCGCAGGGGTGTAGCCCAGACTCAGGCCAGGGAGAGCACTTCAGATTTTCAGGACAGAGTTGGAAACTGGAGCTATCTCCCATGAAGGATGAGGGTTGGGCCATCAGAGGACTCAAGCCTAGAGCAGGGCTCGCGTGTTGGAGGCAGAGTGGGACCAGGGGTGGCCAGCATAGGGGGCAGACCAGGAACGTGCTAGGGAGTCCGGGAGGGAACTGACAGTGAGATCAGAGGCAAAGGGGTCACTCTCAACAGGACCCCAGCCCCGCGCTGGAATGTCCACTCCCTCCTGTCTCTCCGCCCCTGCAGAAAAGCCAAACCCGGCTGGGCAGGGCCTCCTTGGAGACCCCACCCCGCCCCGCCCCGGGCAGCACCGCCCCCCACGTGGCCGCCGCCGGGCGGGGCCGCACCTCCCCTTCCTCCCGCCCGCCCCGCCTGGCCCGCGAGCGCGGTTAGATCTTGCGGAAAGCAGCCGCGGGGCCGCCGCCCGCAGCACCAGACGCTCCGGCGCCAGGACAGAGGACCTTCTGCATCACCTCTCACTGCGCCTCCACCCGGTAAGTCTGAGGCTTGCTTCGGGCTAGTCTGGAACCCATAGGGAAACTGAGTCTGGGGGCGGTGAGGGAAACGGTTGAGATTGAGGAGAGGGCTCGGAGCTGCCGCGTGTGCACTAAGGTAGCCAAGAATCCGGTCTGCGCTGTCGGCCTTAGACTACGGGCTGTTCAGGGCGACGCCGCTCACTGCCTGCAGGGTGTTTGCCCAGGGTCTGACTGAAGGAGTTCCCCCACCTTGCGGCTGCCACATCCTGACCATGAATCAGCCACAGTTGTGAAAATAAACTTCAACTCGAGGTCCGCCTCTCGGGTAGCCCAGTGTGGGCTTGCTGCCCCGCCTTTTTGGCTCGCTTCCGAAGATGCCCGCGCCCGTGGAATAATGCAGGCCATTGCATCCCCCTGGCCGACCTGAGGGAGTGACACAGCTCTGTTTCTTGAGGCAACACCTGTCAACCCCATCCTGGGCAAGGATGCTGGGAATGAAGGTGATCTTAGCGGGAAAGCTGAGTGACCCCCAACGACGCCTTGGTGGACTCCCCAGAGGACCATGGGGTGGAGAGTGGTCTATAGGCCTGTCTGTCCAGGCCTCTAACCACCCAGGGCCCCGTGTCACGTAGCGGCAGGTTGGGCACACGAGGCCCTGATCCTGCCTGGTCAGGGCTCCAGGTCAGTGCACCTACTCTAAAGCCCGGGCACCCACGCTGAAGCTAGAGTTGGGAAGTCCCTTTCTCACGAGGCCTCCTGTGGCATTTGCTTTCTCTGGGCCTCAGTGTCTTCACCTATACTGGAAGGCAGAGGACAGTGGCTCAGACATGAGCAAACGTCTAGATCTCTTCAGGGTGTCACCCAGGGCAGGGGGCAGTTGGGGAGCAGACACCTGTAGCAAAAATGGGTGTTTGTTCCAAGGCTGGGGACTGAGACTTCTCCCTGTCCCCACCCATTGGCTCAGGGGCAGCTGTTCAAGTTGACCTAGCAGGGTCCTCCTAGGACCTGGTGGGAGTTGGCCCTGCCCAGTTCTACCCTCCTGCCCCTTCCCTAAGGTAGAGACCTCCAGCCCCACACTGCCAGGAAGGGCTGCCCTCCACCACTCTGCCCAAGCACAGCTGCCAGCAAGGGTTCTGCTCCCGAACAGCAATGAGTTAACCTTCAGGTGAGGCCCCTCACTTTGTGGGGGTGCTGATGGCTGTCGCAGCTAATTGCACACATCTCCCTGTGCGGGGACCTGAAAGCACCCACCTTAAATAGACTTGTTCACCTTCTATCAAAGTGCACTTGTTACCGAGGGGAAAGTTTTCAGGCTCCTGAAAGCTGCTGGGGGAGGCAGGGGGATTGCTAAATGGTGGGTGCAGGCAGGCAGCTGCTGGCCCAGGCTGGGCCGGATTGATGGCGTTCTCTGGAGTAGGCAGAACCCCTGGGCTCTGTGAGGGTGATGGTATGTTGGTTCCTGTGGTCTGAAGGTCACTACCTGACTTCCCTACTTCTGTCCTGTACACAGCAAGTGTCTAATAAGTGCACAGTTCCTCGGCCAGTGGACTTCCTGTCTCTTTCTAGAGTGAGCTTCAGAGTCGGTCTCCCCGGGGCTGCCCCAGGGGCCATAAGAGAAGTGGGCTGAGGAGCATCTGGTGCAGACAGGGAGGGTGGACTCCCCATCACTGGAGATGTGAAAATGGGGCCCTATTACGTAGCCTCACCCTGGTAGCCTGACCTACGTGAAGAAGGTCTTGTTGAGAAAGTTCAGACAGCCTGGGCCTTGAGCCAAAGTAGGATCTGTTCAGAGCTACCCACCTGCCCAGCACCCAGCACATGTCACCTCCAGCTGTACAGGAACTGGGTAGGGGAACGTGCCAGCTGCGCCTCTGTCCCCTTATGCCCCTTTCCTAAAGTGTGATTACATAAGGAACAGGGCAGGGGCTGAGCAGGGTCTCTGCTGGGGCCACCTTCATGCTCCCTCAAGCACTGGCCCCAAGCCCTGCTTCCCTTACTTCTGACAGTCTGTGAGCAGGTCTGTGTGCTGAGAGCAGACGAGCCGAGGGCTGACGGGACCCATCTGCCCCTTTGGCTCTCACTTGGCTCTCACTCCGTCTGGAGAGGATGTGAGCTACTGTCTATTCTGACAAGAGGCCCTTAGAATGCCTGTGCGGTAGGCATCAACTCCTTGTACCCACATCACCCCCCAGGAGGTGGTACCCAGTGATATGACTCACAAAGCCCTCTTAACCTCTCTGTCCCTTATTATGGAGCTGTGAGGATGGGGCCCTAATATGTGGCCTTCACCCTGGTAGCCTGACCTAAGTGAGCAAGTACTCATCCCAGGACAGCGTCTCAGGACGGCACACTACAGCTCAGAGAACCAGAAGGTCTTGCCCTGGTCAGGTAGCTCCTGCTGAGTCTCTAAATAGGGTGAAGCAAGCCTTCCTCTCCCCCAGTGACTATAATTGGACCTGCTGCCCCAGACCCCTGGGGCCTGGGCTCATGGGGCACTGGTAGGTGCAGTAGGGTATGGCTGGGGGGGGTCATAGTTGGGGTTCCTGTTGCTGTGATAAAACACCATGACCGAAGAAATAACCTGAGCAGGAAGGGTTCATTTCATCTTACAACTCTCAGGTTCCATCACTGGAGGAAGTCAGGGCAGGAACTCAAGGCAGGAACTGAAGCAGAAGCCATGGAGGAGTGCTGCTTACTGGCTTGCTTCTTGTGGCTTGCTCATCCTGCTTTCTTAGGGTACCCAGGACCACCCGCCCAGGAATGACATCACCCTCTGTGAGCTGGGCCTTCCCACATCAAACCATCAAGAAAAATGCCCTATAGACTTGTCCACGGGCACGCTGATGGAGGGAGGAGGCATTTTCTCCTCTGAGGATCCTCTTCCCAGATCAAGCTTGTGTCAAGTTGACTAAAGACCAATCGGGACAGAGGGTGTGTACTGCAGCCGAGCACCCTTCAGCACTGTTTGCGGACAGGATGGCCTTTCCTGCGTCCCCTTTACCATGGCTTCCCTTTCTGTAGGAAGCAGACATAGGACAGAGGGAATGAAAGAATCCAGAGAGGAGGCCAGGTAGCCCCGGCCAGTCTCCTGCCTCTGGCTCACTCCTGTGGCATGTGGACTCCTGGAAGGGCAAATGGGCTTGAGGAGAGCAGGCTGGTCCCCTGCAGAGGCCTTGGCAGAGTCAGAGTACCAGGGCAGCAGACCCTGCCAATGCTGTCACAGCATTCCACATGTTTCCAGAGCTGGACTCGGTCAGAGCATCCCAGATCCACATGGCTACTGTGTTCCCATGGGCTCGGCCTCACCAGCGTGTGTGGCCTGTACTGACAGAGTTCAGGCTGACTGGGGTCTGGGTGTGAGGCTCTTAGTGAGGCGGGGGAGGGGGGGGCAATGGAAAACTCACATGAAGGAATGGAGCCAGCATCAAAGCCAAGCACCAGGCCAGCCAGGGCCCGGTGGGTCAGGAGGGACTCACATCCTAGCTTAGCATCCCTGACCGTGGTAGGCAGAGGCTAGCCTAGGCCCCATCAGCACTGAGCAGGATGTTGGCCCTTGCTGGTGGTTGGATGTGGCCTAAAAACCATCTGGACCCCTCCAAACTTTGTAGAGCAAACTGGCATATCAGTGACTCAGTCTCCCTGCCTGTTGGTCCAGGCCCCCTGAAGACCTGGGCTGTGGTCTCCACGTGCAAACTCAGTCCCTCATCATCCCTGTGTCCTCATTCCTGCTCTAGACACAGCTCTACTGCTCCCTGTACCCACAGCAGGGAGGTAGGCATCTGTTCCCCGCCTGGCCCAGGCTGGGAGGAGGGTGCTACCTGTCCCACGCCTCTCTCTGCCCCACTTCATGTACAGACACGAGTGGCCTGAGAACAAGACTTTCCTCTCTCAGGGGCACCTGCACAGAGGGCCTCGGTTGTGGAAGTAGAGACAAGAGTAGGGGCTGGACCCTGGCATGTTGCAGAATCCTGCAGCTCGTTGCAGGGAGATGGGCTGTCTCTGTAAGAGGGATCGGAGATGGGAGGTCACCTCTGAGAAGAGTGAAGGGTGAGCAGTAGAGATGTAGTGCTTGCAGGCCTGACGGTTGATGTACGGACAGTGCTGGGTCAGCCAATCCATGTTGAGTGCCCAGAGCTCCCTGGTGACCATCCTGGCTACTGCACAAATAAGAAAACCCAAGTCCAGAGTGGGCTGGCTCTTGCAGGATCTCTGGTGTCCTCATTTCCAGCCAATACTGTGAGCAAAACATGCACCTCGGCGGAGGATCTTGCTCACCCGGTTGGGCCTGACAGGCTCCCTGGGGCCAGGTGGCTGAGGAATGCTGAGCAGGGGCCTGGGAGACTGGAGCACTAAGCTAGGTAGATGGCATCAGACTGTCAGGGCAGAGCTGACCCTGTGCGGTAGTTACAGTTAAAGTGGCATTCTTTTCTGACAACCAAGTAACCGTGGTACTGGCAGTGACTCGCTTGTTATCCTATGAAGACAGAAATGGGAAGTCCGTTGGGTTGTCCAGTGGAGAGCCCTCCTCACTTGGGCACAGCCTTGTCTTCTCCGTGAGCCCTGGCTGCTGCCCCTGGCTGTGCTGGAGGACACAGGGCAGTCCCTCCCCGTTCTCAGTACGTCTTTGTTCTCCTTGCCCCTGAAGGGAAGCTTGGAGCTGGACACTGGCAGAGGGTGGAGACTGTGATCTGGCATTTGGGTGGACAGGACAGCTTTCCCATCCTGGGCATGGGCAGCGCTGAGGCCCAACTCTCTGAGGGCAGACCAGCGCACAACACTTGCCACGTGCATCCTGAGGAAAGCCTGTCCTACCCAGGTTGGGAGAGGCCCTGCCAAAACCATCCGCGGGATCGGAGAGCACACAGGGTCTGTTGGAGGAGGAATTTCCAAGTTTATCTGATTTTGGAGAGAGAACCAAAGCAGATGGATTCTCGGGTGAGGCTGAGGTCCCCGTGGCCACAAACCCCTGCATGCAACCCTGCAGTTGGAAGGAAGCTGAGGTTAGGAGCGGGGGTCAG